TTCCTTGCTTAAGTAATTATTTAAAAAAAAAAAAAAAGAAGAAGAAGAAAAGAAATTGTGGTATCTCATCACTAAGGTTTGCTTGTTTGGAATCCCGAGCTCCTGTTTTCTTGTTTCCAATGGGAGAAACTGAGGCCCAAAGAAAGCCAACATGGGCAGGGAGTTCCAGATCCAGTCCTGGGGACAGGGCATCTGGGGAGGTGTGGAAGACTTGAAGCACCGAGATGGCGAGATTCCTGGACATAGTTACCTGCTGCTCCAGCTTCTGAAGCCTGATGGCAGCCAGCTCATCCCCCAGGATCCTGAGACAGATGCAGGCTCATGGTGACAGCAAACGGCACCTCGGTGGCCCACGAGCCCTTCCTTTTCCTTCCACCCCCTTCCCAATTTATGTTGAGCAGAGGTGAGGTCTCAGAAGGTGCAGAACCAGGCCCTGCTTTGCCAGTTCTGAAGCTCCTCCTCCCAGCACTGGCTGGTCTCAGAGCCAGGAGTCAGCCATCAGGGGCCCACAGCACTTCTGGTCCCCAGCCCCTTACAAACCCAGGACTCTTCCCCTGGGATCCCTCCCTTTAGGACCCAGGAATAAAGGTTCCCAGCCCCTTCCTGCAGAGGATGGTGCTGAGCCTGTACACATGGTCACCAGGCCTCGGCTGACAGAGTGGGGAGATCCTTGAGCTTTAAGCACCTCCTTCCACTCCATCGCCCACCCCTGCCCATCCATTTCCCCACTCACTCTTTCTTCCACTTGTCATTCTCCTGAAACATTCTGGAGGAGCAAGAATGAGGAGTCAGAACCCAGGACCTAGGTCCCAACACAAACCGCCCTGCAACGCCTGATCTTCAGCCGTAACATTCCTCCCTGACCAGGCAGCCTGAATCCCAGTGTGCACTCCAGCCGCAAGTCTCCCTTTTCCCACCTCTAAGTTGTCTGTCCCTCAAATCCCTAACTTTCTCCAGGTGTCAGAACTCAGGACTCTGAGCCTCAAACATTCAACCCTCAGTGGCCTCCGACCCCCAGTGCCCACGGCAAAACTCTGTACTCGTTCCTGGAGAGGTTACTCACATGGCCGCCTCCATGCCTGCCTCTAGGACAATCTTTAAACAAACATAGCTGACCCTCTCTTTTGCGAGTTGGGGACCTATTCTCTGGGTATCTGGTAAGTAGGCAAGGGAAAAAATAAGGCTCAGAGGGAGGGGGATTCCCACTGGGACCTGCCCTAGTCCCCTCCCTCCAGGCCCCCCCAAACTGCACCTCCAACAATGCAATGACCCCCCTCAACACACACACACCTCCGCGGCCAGGCAACCTGGCTCCAGGAATTCTAAATTGGAACAGCAGGCGGATATTCCTTAAAGGGACACGAGAGAGGCCGCCTCGCTGTCTCGCTCTACGCATCTCGCTTATAAGAAACTTATAAGCTGAGCTGTGTAATCGCTAACCCGGCTGTAACTTGCAGCCACTCTGGGGGGCGAAAATACACGGGAAAACTACAACTCCCCTGAGCCAAAGGAGACAAGATGCCCGACGAAGTCGCCTCATTTTCCCCTGGCCTGCAGGGAGTTGTAGTTCTCATCAAAAGTCTCCGCCCTCTTTTTACCTAAAAGGCCGGAAATCAGACGTCAAATCGTCGGTCTGCCAAGAAAGGCGGCGAGACTGCCGAGAAAAGGCCAGAGACTTCTGTAAGGGGCGGGGCCGCTACACGCTTACGAAAGAGCTCAGAGCTGGCGCGGGCCAATCAGGACTCTGGGGGCGTGGCCTCCTGGGACCGTGGGCGTGGCCTAGAGGGGAAATCACCAGAAACGCCCCGGAGGTCCTTGCCCGGGAAATCGCCTTCTGCGGTGCAAAAGAGGTAAGGGGTCGGGGTCCCAGACTCCTGGGTCCTGGATAGGATGGTGGTCCCGGAGGATGGGCTGGGTGCCAGTACTTCTAGGTCCTGGGAAAAAGAGGACGCCGGTGGGTGGAGGGCCTGGACTTTTGGGTCTGGGGGAGGAGGGCCGCGATCCTGCGTTCCTGAGTCTGTGGAAAGAGGGTCTTAGGAGACCAGACTCCCGGCTCTGAGTGCCCGGTCGGAGGAAGGAAACCCTGGAGTCCTGGGTCCCGGGTAAAGAAACGCTTTCGGTCTTGATTCTTGGAGGGCTAGAGGGCAGCGCTGGGGGCCCAGACACCTGGCTTCTGGGGTGGAGGCTTGGGATTATCGGACAACCACCTCTGCGCCACTACAGACCGACCACGCCGCCATGCCTCCCTCTGGGCCCCGCGGATCCCTGCTCCTCCCTCCACTGCTGCTGCTGCTGCTGCTGCCCGCTATGCTGGCTGTGCCCCTGGAGCGGGGGGCGCCCAACAAGGAGGAGAGCCCCGCGACCGAGAGCCCGGTGAGTGGCCCGTCCCTGCTCACCAGCCAGGTGTTCGCAGTGGCTCTCCCGTCACCGCCGGCCCCCATGGCCCCTGGGCGGGTGCCCCAGTGGCTCCTTGGCTCCACAGTTGCGCTTGTCAGGGTGTCTGACTTGAAAACTGGGGGATCCCTGACTCTGAGGTGTGGAAAATCAGATCAGATTTTAAGAATAAAACCTGCATCGCTCGGGCCTGAAGGTGGCATGGTGGTTAAGGCGTTGGACTCCCACATGGCCCCCGGGGTTGGTCCCGAAGTTGGAGGCTTGCTTTCTCACTGTCTTTCTGTAACTCACTCTCGCTCTCTGGTCAAATCGAAAACATGATAATAATGATAAATAAAGTTAAGTAAATGGCTCTTTTTAGAAACTAATCTGCATTACTCTCTACCCAAGCCTCTCTGTTGTTGTTGTTTTTTAAAAATTATTTATTTATTAATTCATTTATTTTAATTTGCCCCGGGGTTGGGAGAAGTGAGAGCAAGCTGCCAGGTCTGGGACTCAGACCATGGTCAGCCATGTGGGAGTGTCCAGCACCTTAACCACCACGCCACCTGCTGGTGCCTAGGCTCTCTGTTCATTTAAGATCCTTCCACCTGAAGAGGCGCATGTAAAAAAGAACTACGTTTCCCAGGAGAACTATAGGCTGTTGATATTGTCAGCTGTGGGGGGGTGTTCTTAGTTCATGGGACTCAAAGGAGTTGTAGTTGAAATGGCAAGGGCCCCAGGTCTGCTTATTGATTGATCTCGGACAAGTTTATCAATGCAGCCTTTGGTTTTAGGGGATTCGGAGCTTTAAAGATCCTCAAGGCCCATGCCTTGATTTGTGGCCTGAATCTTTGCAGTTTCCCTGGAAACAGCCGGGTCCTTCCTCCCCCGACAGGTCCTTCCCTCCTGTGTGACAGGTCCTCAGCTAGCATGTTAGGCCTCTGTTCTGTGCTGTCTGCAGACGCTCGAGAACCCAAGTCCTCTTTGCCTTCATTCATTCCCTGTGTTTCTGGAGCATCTTCCGGGAGCCAGGCACGGGCTAGTTCCAGGGATGTGGCCACGGGCCCCTTGCCCTCGTGGACTGCCCTTCCTCACTGGGGACTGGGGACAAAGGGCAAGGCTCTGTGAGACGGGACCCCTGGGGTGATGGCCAGTGAGGAGGGTCTGTGTGCCTTGAGTTCTGAAGTGAGGGAGACATTATGCCAAGAGGAAGAAAGAGGAAGTGGTGGGAACAGCATTCCAGGAAGAGGGAACCGTCTGGACACAGGTGGTGGGAGGAGAGAGCAGAGCTGAGGTGCTTTGACCAAGGGGAGGTGGGGCCATCTTGTGAGATTTTGTGGGCCACAGAGAAATGGGGTTTTTTTTAGAGGTTTTTTTGCTATAGGGCGCTTGCGCTCGCCAGACAGACAGAAAGAGACAGACAGACAGAAAGCGAGAAATCACCCCCCCAGGGGGGATGGCCACGCCGCAATCCCTTCTCCTCCATTCTCCTCTCGGGATCTTGGGCACACTCACACGCGCCCGGCTTGAGTTTTAAGCCACCGGGTTCGGGACGCGAACCGCGGTTGACTACGTGGGAGTCCAGCGACATAGCCATTATGCTAACTGCTGGTCCTGAGAAATGTTTTTTAAAATGTGTTGCCGGAGGGCATGCGCAATTGCTGGAGAGAGACAAGGAGAGAGGGAGAAAGCACCCCCCCCCATAGAGAATGGTCACAAAGCAATCCCTTCTCCATTTTTCCTGCTGGAATTACCTTTTAATAATTATTTATATTATTTTATTTATTCATTCATTTATTTTAATTTGACCAGAGAGAGAGAAAGTGAGAAAACAAACCGCCGGGTCCAGGACTTGAACCATGGTCAGCCATGTGGGAGTGTCCAGTGCCTTAACCACCACGCCACCTGGTGGTCCCCTTCTGTTGGGATTTTGGCACACATTCCAAAGCTACTGTGTCCAGGGCTTGAACCACACAGTTGGCCATGTAGGATCCAGCTGCCTTAACCACCATGCCACTAGCTGGCCCTCAAAACATATTTTTTGTTCCAAGGCGAACAGAAAGCCCAGAGGTCATAAACGTCAGTGACAGCAGCAGTTTCCACACACGGACAGCCCTCCTAAGCATCTGGCACTGGGGCAAATATTTAAAGATATGACTTCACCGCATCCCCCCAGCAGCCCTGTGAGGTGGGTGCTCAGTAACCTGACTCTGTAAGTGAGGAAACTGAGGCGCAGGCGGGTTAAACAACTTGCCCGAAATCTAGGGTTGCCTGATTAAGCAAATAAAAATACAAGACATCCAATTACATTTCAGGACAGGTCAGTAACGAGCAATCACTAGGACAAGCGTGCCCCATGCGATATGCGGAAAGTAACTGGTCCTTTCCCGGAAGTTGAGGCGTGCTGGGCACCCTGGCCGTCCTCCCGCAGTCACGCAGCCGGTGGCACACTGGCGACGCCAGCTGCTGCGCTTGGATGAAGTGTGTCCACGCCCTCACCCTCCAGAACCCGTGACCGTGTCCCCTGCTGCAGCCACGGACTTAGCAGCCGTGATTCAGGACAGGATCATGAGACAGAGAGGCGATCCTGGGTTATCTAGCTTGGCCCCAATTGCAGTCACAGGGGCTTTAGAAGAGGGTCAGTGGTTGGGACCAGGAGTTAGCGTAATGGCTATGTCGCTGGGCTCCCATGTAGTCGACCATGGTTCGAGTCCCGGACTCGGTGGCTTAAACTCACGCTGGGCACGTGTGCGTGCGTGCCCAAGATCCCGAGAGGAGAATGGAGGAGAAGGGATTGCGGTGTGGCCATCCCCCCTGGGGGGTGATTTCTCGCTTTCTGTCTCTCTGTCTCTCTCTGTCATTCTGGCCAGCTCACGTGCCCTATAGCAAAAATCTCTCTAAAAGAGGGTGTCAGTGGGGCCAGCAGGTGGCATGGTGGTTGCCTGGCACTGGAATCCCACATCGCTGACCACAGTTTGAGTCCCGGACCTGGCAGCTTGCTTTCTCTCTCTCTGGTCAAGTTGAAGAATATTATTTTTTTTAAGATGGTCTTTATTTTTTTTAGAATTATTTTATTTAACTTTATTTATTTTAATTTGACCAGATGGGACAGAACAAGCAAGTGAGTGAGAGAAACCAAGTCACCAGGTCTGGGACTCGAACCACAGTTGGCCATGTGTGAGTCCAGTGCCCCCAACCACCATGCTGGCCCCAAAGAATGTTATTAATAAACAAAATTAAATGAAGAATTCTTTGAGAGTGAAAAAAAAAAAAAGAAGAGGCTCAGCTGGAGGAAAAGATGTGACAGTAGGAGTAGAAGTTGGGAGACGCAGGCCAAGACAGGGAATGTGGGTGGTCTCCACAAGCCGGAAAGGCAAGGAAATGGGTTCTCCCCGGACCCTCCAGCAGGAACGGCTCTGCCGGCCGGTTTTGGACTCATGACCTCCAGAACTGTCGGAGTGGGCTTGCCTGCTTCAGGACACTAAGTCGTAAGACTTTGTTACAGCGGCAGCGGGTAACTCATACACCCACAGTGGCCTAGCTGGGTGGCCCTAGACTATACTGGGGTGAAAGCACTGTCATGTGTCAAGCACCTGCTGGGTGCCTTCGTCATATGTGAAAATAGGATACCGTGTGTCCTGACCAGTGCACCGGGAATGAAACAGAAAGAGAGAGAGAGTCAGAGAGCAAGCAGCCAGGTCCGGGACTCGAACCACAGTCAGCCATGTGGGAGTCCAACACCTTTAACCACACCGCCATCTGCCAGTCGCCCTCACGTACTTCACATCACTCTACATCACTGTCTGGAGGCAGAGAACATCACCAGCTGCTCTTCCCGAGGCCCGGGAGAGGAAGGTGCCACCCTGCTGAGCAGGCAGGGCAGGACCGGGCCAGGGATTCTGCTCTGCTCACTGGTTTCCCCTGGAGCCTGCACGAGAGGGGCTGAGTAAGAGCTGGCGGATGACACGTGGAGCGGTTTCCCTGCTTCCCCCGCGAGTGCGGCCTCTCTAAGACCCCGCTCTGTTGGTGAGGTTCATTGTGTCGGCTTCAGACCTGGGAAGAGGTGAGAGCTGTGATTTACCTGGGGTTACACAGCAGACCAGAGTCAGAAGTGGAGCCCAGGGTGCCTGCCCTGCCCCCGAGGGTCCCTCCTGCCTGCAGGAAGGCGCCCAAGCCAGGGGGAGCAGGGTCACAACGCCTGTCCCTCCCCTCAGGACACAGGCCTGTACTACCACCGGTACCTCCAGGAGGTCATCAACGTGCTGGAGACCGACGGGCACTTCCGCGAGAAGCTGCAGGCCGCCAACGCCGAGGATATCAAGGTGCGCGGTGGCCCCGCGGGAGGAGGCCGGGGCCGGGAGCGTCTGCCTGGGGGGGCTGCGTGCAGAGGGGACCCTGCTCCCCAGTTCCCAGGGCACTGCTTGGCCGGAGCTAGTGTGAAACTCGGGAAGAAGCGGTGGCTTCAGGGGCCACGCAGCCTGTGTAGTTGAGCATGGAGTCGGCGGGCAGGCTTTGTTCTCGGCTCCAGCACCACCAGCCAGGGGCCTGCCTCGCTGCGCCTCAGTTTACCATCTGAGCAATGGGGGTAGTCACGGACCCTGCT